TATGAACCTGGCGACCCGGGTTCGATTCCCGCTCACGGCCAACACCAGTGACGATTATCTGAACCGGTCCCGGGCCTCCCCTAGGTCGACTCAGCCTCAAATGAGTACCTGGTGCGGTGTGTAAACATCGTCACTAGGGAGACAAAGGGGGTCGGGCGTGGTGCTGGCCACCCACCCCCTCGTGTACCGTTCCGGCCTTCATAGGTGCTCGCTAACAGCACTTGCCCCTACAGTCTGTTAAGGCTATAGGGGGATCTTTGTCTTTGTGTGTGTTGGTGAGGGAGACTTTTAAACCACTCTTATTGCCGCCAGCCAGCAACGGCACTGGAGGCGATTTCGATACGAGACGCACAAAGTCACCAGCAGCAGCAACAAAATAACGCGACCACGATAAACAAAAAAACACGCGCCGCGGCACGTGGCGCTACGACGGGCCACTGCACGAGAGAGGGAACAGAGAGAGAGAGGGAGCGAGAGAGAGAGATGGAGACTTTTTTGACTTTTAAACAACTTTTATCGCCGCCGGCAGCGACAGCACTGGAGGCGATTCCGATACGACAAACATAAAGTCACCAGCGACACAAATAACAAACGGGGTACATCCGCGCGCTGTGGCGCTAAATCATCGCGCATGCCACGTTGACGAGCGAGCGCTTCAGAAGGTGAACACGTGGAGTGGTGCCGTTCACGCTGGTACAGAGAGGGGCTTGTCCGGCTCCCCAGCGTTCGAAGAAGACGCGCTGCACGTCACCCGCATGTGTGTGGTACGCGTGCTCCAGCCGGATCCGCGCCTTGAGAGAGATAGTGAGAGCGCGAGAGAGAGAGAGATGGAGGGAGCGAGAGATAGCGAAAGAGAGCGAGAGGGAGAGAGACAGACAGAGAGCGAGAGAACGAGGCAGAGCGAGTTGGTGAGAACCTGTGATGAGACGTTGCTAGCGCCGGTTTAATGAGCTCTCCGTGTGAGGCCGATACACCTCACACCGGAATCCGTGTGTTGGTGGTGGTGGCTGTGAATCACGTGAGTTCGTACGTTGAGCTTATTTTACACCGTAGGTAGCCAACCGTGCGAATCGGAGGGTTCCTGGGTGGCTGAGTGGGTAAGAGAGAGGGGGTGGGGTGGTTGTGTAAGTGTGCGGGTGGGTGAATGGGTAGGTGAGTGGGTGAGTGGATGACCGGTGTGTGTGAGTGGGTGAGTGAGCGAGTTGGTGAGGTGCAGGGGGAAGGACAGTAAACTAAAGGAACAAAAAGCAGTTGTGAAAAAATACAAATATATTTCAATCTGTGTGAGTCTGTGGGTCTCTGCGTGAGTCTGCGATTCTCTGTTAGTCTGTGAGGGTCTGTGTGAGTCCATGGGTCTCTGTGTGAGTCTCTGCGTCTTTGTGAGTCTATGGATATCCCCCTGTGTAGCCAGCCTTAACAGACTGTAGGGGCAAGTGCTGTTAGCGAGCACCTATAAAGGCCGGCACGGCACACGAGGGCGTGGGTGACCAGCACCACGCCCGGCCGCCTTTGTCTCCCTAGTGGCGATGCTCACACATCGCACCAGGTACTCATTTGAGGCTGAGTTGACCTAGGGGAGGCCCGGGACCGGTTCAGATAATCTTCACTGGTGTTGGCCGTGAGCGGGAGTCGAACTCGGGCCGCTGGGTTCGTAGCGCAGCGTAACGCTAAGCACTACACTGCCGCTCCCCACACACACACGTGCACACATACTCACACACGTGCACACACACACACGCACACGTGTGTGTGTGCATCTCTGCGCCCATTCCAAGCAGCTGTCCCTCGTCTGAGTGATTATCTTTCACTCTGCATAAGGGAGAGGAGAAGGATCGGTTGCGGCTAGTGGTGGTGGTGATGTGGTTAGTGGTGGTGGTAGTGGTGGTTCCTCCAACACCTCCTCCTCCACCACCACCACTACCACCATCCCCACCTCCACCACCACAATCTACCACCTCCACCACCACCTCCGCCACCACCAACTCCGCCACCACCACCACCTCCACCACCACGACCGTTCCATCACCCGGTGACATCACCACCGCTTTGGTTCAAGGCCGCGTGTCTAGACACCAATTTACAGAGACGCAACGCGCGCGTGTAGTCGTACTCCACACACACACGTGGGTATGTGTGTGGAGTACATTAACACACGTACACGTGCGTGTGAGTGTGTGTGTAGTGCACGTACACGTGTGTGTACGTGTACTACACACACACGTACACGTGTGTGTTAATATACTACACACACCCACGTGTGAGTGTGTGTGTGTACTACTGTAGTACACGTACACACACGTGTACGTGTGCTACACACACACTCACGTGTACGTGTGTGTCAGTGTACTACACACACACACTCACACACACGTGCACTAACGGCCTCCATCAGGTGCCGCTCCTCGTGAAACAAGAGCACTTGCCCAAACAGTAGACTATGGGCTGAAAGATTTGGGGAAAATCTCAGATTGCGATTTCTCTGACAGATATTGCGATTTGATTTGCGATTATATTTTTTAAAGTCAAGCTTCAGTTCAATATTTAATGTGTTATAGATTAAAAGACATGCGATGGAGCATTACCACGTGATACCATCAAACATATGAACTGCTCTAGATATTCCTCATTGGTTTTTTCGGTAAAGTCACGTATGTAGAAATACCCTAAAATCACATTAAATGTAGAAATACCCTAAAATACCGAAAAAAACAATGAGTAATTTATGCAGTCTTCTTTGGTTCTTTTGGTAAAGTCACCACGTAGAATGAGAACAAAATAATGAATTGATAAAATAACACAATAACATTATCACGACGTTTCGGCCACAACACAAGCGGCCTCCATCAGGCAAAGGGACGAGACTGTCCTCCAGACAGTGTTGTGGCCGAAACGTCGTGAGAATTTGATTGTGTTATTTTATTTTTATCAATTTATTATTTTATTCTCATTCTACGTGGTGGTGACTTTACCGAAAGAACCAAAGAAGATGAATCCTTGCAGTCACGAAAGCTTTAAATCGAAACTTAATTGATGCGGTCACGAAAGATTTAATTCTTTATTGCTCTAGATATTCCAATGCAAGGATGAGAACTTAGAATACATGAATTGCTTCCAACATGTATTTATTACAATTTGTATTCATTTAAATAGAACAAGCAAACATAGGACAATTGTTAAGCTAAATAAATAAAGTCACGTCGAAAGGAAACAATAAAATAATAAAAATATAAAACATAAATAATAAAAATATAAAACATATTTTTACTATTTTATTGTCTCCCTTCTACGTGACTTTACCGAAAGAACCAAAGAAGACGAATCCCTGCAGTCACGAAAGCTTTAAATCAAGAATGTAAATAAATAAATAAAGTTGCAATTATAAAAAACTTAAAAAAAATCGCAGCCTTTGCGATTTGCTAATCGCACCGTTTCAAATTGCGATTTCGATTTGAAATCGATTAGACCGTGTACGCACGTGTGTTGAACTTCTTTCGAACCCCACGTAGCCGACGGTGCTACGTGCGTCGGGTAAGTAAAAAAAAAGAAATCCTTTCCGCCGTCACCTCCTTCGGGACTCAAACCCATCAGGCTCTCTCTCCTCTCTCCTCCTCCCCTCCTCTGAGAATACCTCCTAAGGGTAAACTAAAATAAATAAACACAAATGCATCGCACAGCTGAGGCCGTTGGGCGCAAACAACAAAATGAAACGCGCTCACGTGCGCGCGCGTGTAATTGCATTACACGCGCGCGCACACACACACACACACCGACACACGCACACACCGACACACGCACACACCGACACGCACACACCGACACGCACACACCGACACACACACCGACACACACACACCGACACACACACACACCGACACACACACACACCGACACACACACACCGACACACACACACACCGACACACACACCGACACGCACACACCGACACACACACCGACACACACACACACCGACACGCACACACCAACACGCACACACCGACACACACACACACCGACACACACACACACCGACACACACACACACCTACACGAACACACCGACACACACACACACCGACACACACACACCTACACGAACACACACCTATACGCACACACCGACACACACACCGACACACACACACACCGACACATACACACACCGACACGCACACACCGACACACACACACCGACACACACACTGACACGCACACACACCGACACGCACACACACACACACCGACACACACACACACCGACACACACACACACCGACACACACACACCGACACGCACACACACTGACACACACACACCAACACACACACACCTACACACACACCTACACGCACACACCGACACACACACACACCGACACACGCACACCGACACACACACCGACACGCACACACACCGACACGCACATACCGACACGCACACACCAACACGCACACACCGACACGCACACACCAACACGCACACACCGACACAAACACACCGACACACACACACACACACCGACACACACACACACACCGACACACACACACCGACACACACACACCGACACACACACACCGACACACACACGCAAAGACAAAGATCCCCCATGTAGCCTCGGACAGACTTTGACAAGTGCCATTAGCGTAGCACCTGTGAAGGTCGGCACTGTGGCACACGAGGGGGTGGGTGGCCAGCACCCACGCCCGGCCGCCTTTGTCTCCCCTATTGGCGATGTTTTACGACAACCACGCCAGGTACTCATTTGAGGCTGAGTAGACCTAGGGGAGGCCCGGGACCGGTTCAAATATCCGTCACCGGTGGCGTTGGCCGTGAGCGGCAATCGAACTCGGGACGCCGGGGTTTCTAGAGCAGCGCTAATCGCTACGCTTCCTCTCCCCACACACGCACGCACGCACACGCACACACACACACGCACACACACACGCACACACGCACGCACACACACGCACACACACACGCACACACACACGCGCAGGTGTGCGAGTGCCAGCAGCAGTTTGGGCGCTACGTGGACGGGCAGCGCGCCCCCCTGCCCTGCCTGGGTGGGCAGCGAGGCCCCGCGGTGGTGCGGAGCCTCCTCGAGACCCAGGAGGCCTTCGGCCGCGCGCTGCGGCCGCTTGTAGAGGCGCGCGCCACCATCCTGGACGTCAACAACACCGCCTGGCATGAGCACTGCAACCGGTGGGACACTCGCACGCGCGCGGCGCTGACGGCGGCGGTGGTGGTGTGTGGTGTGTGGAGGCGTCGGTGGTGGTGTGTGGAGGGGGTGGTGGTGGTGGTGTGTGGTGTGTGGAGGGGGTGGTGGTGGTGGTGTGTGGAGGGGGTGGTGGTGGTGGTGTGTGGAGGCCGTGGTGGTGGTGTGTGGAGGGGGTGGTGGTGTGTGGAGGGGGTGGTGGTGGTGTGTGGAGGGGGTGGTGGTGGTGTGTGGAGGGGGTGGTGGTGGTGGTGGTGTGTGGAGGCCGTGGTGGTGGTGTGTGGAGGGGGTGGTTGTGTGTGGAGGCGTTGGTGGTGGTGGTGTGTGGAGGCGTCGGTGGTGGTGTGTGGAGGGGGTGGTGTGTGGAGGGGGTGGTGGTGTATGGAGGCCGTGGTGGTGGTGGTGTGTGGAGGGGGTGGTGGTGGTGGTGTGTGGAGTGGGTGGTGGTGGTGTGTGGAGGCCGTGGTGGTGGCGGTGGTGTGTGGAGGGGGTGGTGGTGGTGGTGTGTGGAGGGGGTGGTGGTGGTGGTGTGTGGAGGCCGTGGTGGTGGCGGTGGTGTGTGGAGGGGGTGGTGGTGGTGTGTGGAGGGGGTAGTGGTGGTCGTGGTGTGTGGAGGCGTCGGTGGTGGTGTGTGGAGGGGGTGGTGGTGGTGGTGTGTGGAGGGGGTGGTGGTGGTGTGTGGAGGCCGTGGTCGTGGTGTGTGGAGGGGGTGGTGGTGTGTGGAAGGGGTTGTGGTGGTGGTGTGTGGAGGGGGTGGTGGTGGTGTATGGAGGGGGTGGTGGTGTGTGGAGGGGGTGGTGGTGGTGGTGTGTGGACGCGTCTGTGGTGGTGTGTGGAGGGGGTGGTGTTGTGTGGAGGGGGTGGTGGTGTGTGGAGGGGGTGTTGGTGGTGTGTGGAGGGGGTGGTGGTGTGTGGAGGGGGTGGTGGTGTGTGGAGGGGGTGGTGGAGGGGGTGGTGGTGGTGGTAATTACAGAGGTGGGGCTGGTCGTGTTGATGATGATGATGAGAGAGAGAGAGACAGAGAGACGCAAACTCCAAATACACAACAGCAGGCATCGTTAGGGTCGTACGACCTCCTGTAGACCAGGCGAGGTAGTGAACATCCCCCAGCCACCACGGCGAAATGTCACTCGGGCGGCCCCTGTGACCCCCCTTCGCGCCGGGCGGGGGCGTTTTTATTGTTGTGTTCGGTCAACTCGCACCGCCGATTCCTCCACCCCCCTTTGCAATTCTTCCTGGGGGCGCCGTCTAAAACCGCGGCGGTCTTCTTCTCACGGGCCACTGAGCATTGTGTCGTGGTGACGGTGGTGGAGGCGGTGGTGGTGGAGGCGGTAGTGGTGGTGGTGGAGGCGGTAGTGGTGGTGGAGGCGGTGGTGGTGGTGGAGGTGGAGGCGGTAGTGGTGGTGGTGGAGGCGGTAGTGGTGGTGGTGGAGGCGGTAGTGGTGGTGGAGGCGGTGGTGGTGGAGGTGGTAGTGGTGGTGGTGGAAGCGGTAGTGGTGGTGGTGGAGGCGGTAGTGGTGGCGGAGGCGGTAGTGGTGGTGGAAGCAGTGGTGAAGGCGGTGGTAGTGTTAAAAGTCGTGGTGGAAGCGGTAGTGGTGGTGGTGGAAGCGGTGGTGGTGGTGGAGGCGGTGGTGGAGGCGGTAGTGGTGGTGGTGGTGGTGGAGGCGGTGGTGGTGGAGGCGCTGGTGATGGTGGAGGCGGTGGTGGTGGTGGAGGCGGTGGTGGAAGCGGTAGTGGTGGAGGTGGTGGTGGTGGAGGCGGTAGTGGTGATGGAGGCGGTGGTGGTGGTGGTGGTGGAGGAGGCGGTGGTGGAGGCGGTAGTAGTGGTGGAAGCGGTAGTGGTGGTGGTGGAGGTGGTGGTGGAGGCGGTAGTGGTGGTGGAAGTGGTGGTGGTGGTGGTGGAGGCGGTGGTGGTGGAGGCGGTAGTGGTGGTGGAAGTGGTGGGCGTTAATAATTCATGGGAGGCAGTCAAGCGTTTTTTTTCGTGCAGCCGTGTCGCCGATGTTAGCCGGCAGGAGTTTTCTCCTCGTGTCTCTGTGTGTGTCTGTGTGTGAATGTGTCCCTGTGTGTCCGTCCACGTGTGTGTCCGTGTGTGTGTGTGTGTCCGTGTGTGTGTGTGTCCGTGTGTGTGTGGGGAGCGGTAGCGTAGTAGCGGTTAGCGCTACGAACACGGAGACCGGAGTTCGATTACCGCTCGCGGCCAACCACCGGTGACGATTATCTGAACCGGTCCTGGTGCCTCCCCTAGGTCGACTCGGCCTGAAATGAGTACCTGGTGTGGTGTGTAGCAAACATCGTCACTGGGGAGACAAAGGTGGCCGAGCATGGTTGCTGGCCACCCACCCCCTCACGTAACCCTAGTGCCGCCCTTCGTAGGTGCTGCTCGCTACCAACAGCACTTGCCCCAGCAGTCTGTTCGAGGCTATACGGGGCATCTTTGTCGGCCTTCATAGGCGCTACCAACAGCACTTGCCCCTCGCTATAGCAGCGCTTGCCCTTCGCTACCAACAGCACTTGCCCCTCGCTATAACAGCACTTTCCCCTCGCTACCAACAGCACTTTCCCCTCGCTACCAACAGTACTTGCCCCTCGCTATAACAGCACTTGCCCCTCGCTACCAACAGCACTTGCCCCTCGCTATAACAGCACTTTCCCCTCGCTACCAACAGCACTTTCCCCTCGCTATAACAGCACTTGCCCCTCGCTCCCAACAGCACTCGGCCCTCGCTACCAACAGCACTTACCCCTCGCTATAACAGCACTTGCCCCTCGCTACCAACAGCACTTGCCCCTCGCTACAACAGCACTTGCCCTTCGCTATAACAGCACTTGCCCCTCGCTACCAACAGCACTCGCCCCTCGCTACCAACAGCACTTGCCCCCTCGCTACCAACAGCACTTGCCCCTCGCTATAACAGCACTTACCCTCGCTACCAACAGCACTTTCCCCTCGCTATAACAGCACTTGCCCCTCGCTACCAACAGCACTAGCCCCCTCGCTACCAACAGCACTTGCCCCCTCGCTATAACAGCACTTGGCCCACCTTCCCACAACAGCGTGTTCGAGCCTACACGGGGAGGAGAGGGCAGGGGGGGATCTTTGTCTTTGCCTTCACAACGCGCTGCGGTCTCGTTGCAGGGAGCTGAGCGGGCGTCCATCGTCGACGCTTTCCGCGATGTCCCTTCTCTCGTTCTCTCTTTCTCCCTCTCTGTCGTTTCTCATTGGAGTTGTCATCGCGTTCATTCCTCGCAGCGTTCGTGCCGCTGAGAAGTCACCCCTCGGCTTGTCCCACGTATGCCAGCCACCCCGCCTCCCTCAGTTTTCCCCCCTCTGGTTAAGAATTTTTTTTTTAAATAAAAAAACAACGGGCGGATTTGTACGGAGGGTGGCGTGTGGGGTGTGGGTGGAATTGATGGCGAATTGGTTCACGCGAATACATCTGAATATATCTTTGGTTCCGTAAAGTATCACGAACATCATCACCAGCAGCACCAGCAGCAGCTTATGTGTGGACACGCACAAGACAGGTTTATCTGCCATCAGCCTGCGGTCGTATCGCGGCGTACCGGCACGGCCGGTGCCGCTTACTGCCTGCGTGCTTGCTCCCACGCTGTTTGAGTCTTCGTCGCGCGTTGCGTGAGAGTGATGGAGGTGAAGGCGTTGGTGGTGGTGGCGGCGATAGAAGTGGCGGTGGTAGTGGTGGTGGTGGTGATAGAAGTGGTGGTGGTGGTGGTGATAGAAGTGGTGGTGATGGTGGCATTAGAAGTGGTGGTGATGGTGGCGATTGAAGTGGTGGTGGTGATATAAGTGGTGGTGATGGTGGCATTAGAAGTGGTGGTGATGGTGGTGATATAAGTGGTGGTGGTGATATAAGTGGTGGTGATGGTGGCATTAGAAGTGGTGGTAGTGATAGAAGTGGTGGTGGTGGTGGTGATAGAAGTGGTGGTGGTGATAGAAGTGGTGGTGGTGGTGATGGTGGCATTAGAAGTGGTGGTGGTGATATAAGTGGTGGTGGTGATTTAAGTGGTTGTGGTGATAGAAGTGGTGGTGGTGGTGGTGATGGTGGCATTATAAGTGGTGGTGGTGATAGAAGTGGTGGTGGTGGTGATATAAGAGGTGGTGGTGATAGAAGTGGTGGTGGTGATGGTGGCATTTGAAGTGGTGGTGGTGATAGAAGTGGTGGTGCAGAGGGCAGAGGAGTGACACTCACAACAACGAGTGGAGAGCGCCGGAGGGCTAAAACACAGCAAGGTCGCAAAGTAAGGGGTACAGCTGGTGGTGCATCTGCCGGTCATCTCAGTCGGTCAACCTATGGCACCTGCTGCGTCTGTCCCATGACCTCCTCCTGCACCTAGCCTGGCACAGTAGGGGGTACAGCTGGTGGTGCATCTACTGGTCATCTCAGTCGGTCAACCCATGGCACCTGCTGGGTCTGTCCCGTGACCTCCCTCCTGCACCTAGCCTGGCACAGTAGGGGGGGGGTACAGCTGGTGGTGCATCTACCGGTCATCTCAGTCGGTCAACCCCATGGCACCTGCTGGGTCTGTCCCGAGACCTCCTCCTGCACCTAGCCTGGCACAGTAGGGGGTACAGCTGGTGGTCCATCTGCCGGTCATCTCAGTCAGCCAACCCATGGCACCTGCTGGGTCTGTCCCGTGACCTCCCTCCTGCACCTAGCCTGGCACAGTAGGGGGGGGTACAGCTGGTGGTGCATCTACCGGTCATCTCAGTCGGCCAACCCCATGGCACCTGCTGGGTCTGTCCCGAGACCTCCTCCTGCACCTAGCCTGGCACAGTAGGGGGTACAGCTGGTGGTCCATCTGCCGGTCATCTCAGTCAGCCAACCCATGGCACCTGCTGGGTCTGTCCCGTGACCTCCCTCCTGCACCTAGCCTGGCACAGTAGGGGGGGGTACAGCTGGTGGTGCATCTACCGGTCATCTCAGTCAGCCAACCCCATGGCACCTGCTGGGTCTGTCCCGTGACC